TTTTTTTTACATAAAGAATTTGGGGTTTGATATGTAATGGGAAGCATTGGAGTTCTGAGATAAGGGCAGGGAGATGTGATAGACTTGTATTTGCCAAGGGGGAGTTGGCTCCTGAGTGAAAAATAATGGGACAGGGTGGAAGCAAAAGCCAGGTCTGACAGCACTGCAATGGTACCAGAGGGAAGTTGATGGCTTGGACTAAAGATGTAATGGCAAGTGATGGATTTGGGTTTAGTTTTGCTGTTTAACCCAGGCTGGCATTCAACTCAAGATGCTCCTACCTCAGACTCCTAAATGTTGTTATTATATTATTATAGGCATGGGCTACCACTATCTCAGCCAAAATGATTTAAAAAAAAAAAACTTCGAGGACTTACCCCTACCTAGGCGAAGAGCTGCAGACAATCAATGGCTGCCAAGAGAGGGAGAATCACTAGTGATGAGTCCCTGATTAGTTTATCCAATCCCAATCAGTCCTAAACACTTATATATAAGAGCAACACTAAGTGGTCTCAGTTTTTGTTTGTTTGTAGTGTGAGGTGAAAATGGTATAAATACAGTACTTTAAAAATAAAAATTTCATTCTTTTTCTTTAACCTGCATTTCAGACCTTTAATACCAGTACTCAGGAAGCAGAAGCAGGTGGATCTCTGTGAGTTTGGGGTCAGCCTAGTCTGCATAATGAGTTCCAGGATAGCCAGAGCTATGTAAAAAGACCCTGTCTCAAGAAACAAAAAAAAAAAAAAAAAAAAAAAAGAAGGAAGTAATTTGTTTTTGTTGTGTGAAACAGGTTTTCTCTGTGTAGACCTGGCTGTGTAGACCAAATCTTGAAACTTGGTCTGTAGACCAGGCTGGCCTCGAACTCAGATCTACCTGCCTCTGCCTCCCAAATGCTAGGATTAAAGACATGTGCCACCATGGCTAGCTAATTAATTAATTTTTGAAAATCTGCATTTCAAAGCTGAAAAGATAGCACTGTCTAAGGACCTGAGTCTAATTCGAAGAACCAGTGTGTGTGGCACGTACTTGTAATCCCAATGTTGGGATGTAGACATACAGGTCTCTGAGGCTTAGTGAGCCTCAGGCTACTGAGAGACCTTGTTTTCAAAAAAGTGTGCAGTGCCTAAGGAACAATGCCAGAGGTTGACCTCTTCCCACACACACACTCACACTAACTCACACACTATAGGACCTGAGGATATAGTTCAGCTGGTAGAGTACTTGCCCAGCATTCATGACACCTAGATTTTGTGTTCCAGCACTGCTAAAAAAAAAAGGGGGGGGGGGGGACATGGAGCCTCATGCCTGTAATCCTAGCACTCAAGAAGCTGAGACAGGAGGATTGCCATGAGTTTGTGGGCAGTCTGAGCTACATAGAGAGCACCAGGCTTGTCAGGGAGACATAGCAAGACCCTCAAAACCAGTAACAACAATCATCATCATAAATTAATTAAAATAAATGAAAAAGGCTAAAATAAATGAAAAGGATTGGACTGGCAAAATGGCTCAACAGTTTAGGGGATTTGTAGCCAAGAATGCTGACGTGGTTTCCATCCCAGAACCTGGAGAGGTAGGGGAGAGCCAGCTCCCACAACTGCCCCTGACCCCCTCTCACATAACATGGCATGTGCACATGCACAAACACACAAAGTGAGTGAATGCAAAAATATTTTAAAAGAATAGATAGTTATTAACTTATTGTGTCTAAGGGTCAGAAGTCTGGTGGGTTTAAACTGAGTTTTCCATTCTAAGTTCATTTGAATGGCTCATCTGATAGGTCAGTCAGTCCTATTTGTATTCATAATTTCAATGAATGGGAACTGTAATTACATCTGCAAACCCTTTCATTTTATTTTTTTTATTATTTTTTGTTGTTGTTGTTGTTGTTGTTGTTGTTTTTTCCTGTTGAGGTTTCTCCTGCCATCTTTACGTATTAATTTGGAGCACTTACAGGTGTCCATGGTTGTGGCTGGCTCACAGGAGGAAGGGGGAGCTGAAGAGCTGCTTACTAACTTGTCTATGGGCTGGACACAGAAAGTGCAGTCACTCAGTAGGGAGGAATGGGAGCTAAGACCCACACTGTGGATCCCATGGAAACATGGGGACTGAGAAGCTTGCACCTGAATGCTGCTCAAGGCCAGGCTCGTAGCCACCTCATTCTCTCTGCCCTGCTGTCTCTTCCTCTGTGACTCCTCTGTGATGGTCACAGAAAAGCAAAGGGGGGGGGGATAGCGCTTTGGGGCCCAGGACCTAGAACCCATGTCTTCTCTGCCGGCCACTCCCTAAGCTGCTTATTTTGGGTAACAGAGTTTACATTATGTTGCCTATGCTAGCTATGAACAATTAGGTCCAAATGGTCCTCCTGCCACAGCCCTCTGAGAAGCTGAGAGTACAGGCATGGCCATTATATGTGGCTCTCCTAAAAGTTTTGTGGATTTTTTTTTTTTGTGTGTCTTTTGTTTTTAGTTTGCTGAGTTGGAGATTTTACCTAGCAGTGTGCACATGCTAGGTAAGAACTATACTATGAAATTACATCACAACTCCCTCTTCCCAAACTTTTTATTTTCAAGACAGGGTTTCACTTTCAAGACAGCTCTGGCTGTCCTGGAACTCACTCTGTAGACTAGGCTGGCCTCCAACTCACAGAGATCCTCCTGCCTCTGCTTCCAGAGTGCTGTGATTAAAGCATGAGTCACCATTCTGGACTCTTTAAACTTCTGAAAGACTGGACTCTACCTACTCTGGGATTTCCTTTAATATGGAGAGAGGGAGGTCATGGTATAAAAGGACAGCTCTTCATTTGTAGAGTCACTCCAAGCAGGTCCACCTGAGAACCCCACTTCCATAGGCTCCTATCTGGGCTCTCTTCCCTAGCATACCTGGCTCCATTAACCTGACCCAGCAGGCCCTTTATTTCGGCATGGGGTGGCCCTTTGGCCTATGGAGAGCACTGGATGTTTACTGACCATCTGTATATTGAAGAAATGACACATTATCTGTCAACCACTCCCCAGCTGGCACTGTAGACTATTCCAAACTTACTGATCCTAAAGTGATCAGGCATCTCCTACGCTCAGAAGCAGGGGCATGACTCCTTCTCCAGACTACCCTTTGATTGTTTTTGAGACGGGGTCCCACAGAGTTGTTTTTGGTTTTTGAGATGGGGTCTCGAACCGGTACACTCACCATTCGATCCTCCCACCTTAGTCTCCCAGGTAGCTGGGAGTACAGGTGTGTGTTTAGTTTCTTTAATTCAAAGAAAGGGCCCAATGATTACACTAGGAACAACCCTGAGTTTGAATCCTGGCTCTTTTGATTACCTTCTGTGTTGACTTTGAGCACAGAAGTTAACCTCTGGGAGACATTATTTTCCTGATATAAAACGGAGATATAAAGGACTGGAGAGATGGCTCAGTGGTTAAAAGCACTGGCTGCTATTCCAGGTCACCTGGATTTGTTTCCCAGAACCCATGAGGCAGCTTACAAACATCCACTCCTCCTCTGTTTCTATTCAGAAAGGGGCAGGTCTCCCATGGGTGTCACCACGGCATGGAATATCAAGTAGAGGTAGGACTAAGCACCTCCCTTAGTATTAAGGCTGGGCAAGTCAATCCAGTATGGGGAACAGATTCCCAAAAGCCAGTTCCAGCGTTAGGAACCGGCCCTGATCCCACTGCTGGGAGTTCCACAAATAAACCAAACCACACAACTGTCACACATATGTAAAGGGCCTAGATCAGTCCCAAGCAGGCTCCCTGCTCCAATGAGAGCAGTCTAGTTGTTTCTGTGGGTTCCCTTGTGATGACCTTGACACCCCCTTGCTCTCAAAATCCTTCCTCCCTATCTTCAACAGGATTCCCAGACCTCGGCCCAATGCTCAGCTATGGATTTGTTTCCATCAGTTACTGGATAAAGGCTCTCTGATGACAATTAGGATAGTCACCAATCTGATTACAGGAGATAGCCATTTCAGGCACCCTCTCCACTGTTGTTAAGAGTCTTAGCAAGGTCATCCTTGTGGATTCCTGGAAGTTTCTCTGGCAGCAGGTTTCTCCCTAACCCTGAAATGTCCCCACATCAAGATATCTCTTGCATTACTCCACCCCTTGGTCCCTCCCCCAAGCCCACCCAACCCCCACCCATGTCCCCCCACCCCCAGTCCACCCAGGAGATTTCTTTGAACCCTCCTTGTTAACCTAGCCTCTCTGGGGCTGTGGATTATAGCCTGGTTATCCTTTACTTTACAGCTAATATCCACTTAGTAGTGAGTACCTGAGTGCATACCATGTTTGTCTTTCTGGGTCTGGGTTACCTCACTCAGTTTTCTAGTTCCATCCATTTGCCTGCAAACTTCATGATGTCATTGGGTTGTTTGGGGGGGGCGGGTTGGGAAGAGTGTTGGTTTTGGTTTTGTGTGTGTGTGCTTTGTTTGTTTGTTTGTATTTTCCAGGCAGCATTTCTCTGTGTAGCCCTTGGCTATCCAGAAGGTAATGTCATTATTTTTTTACAGCTGAGTAGTACTCCATTGTGTAAATGTACCACATTTTCTTTATCCATTCTTCAGTTGAAGGGCATCTAGGTTGTTTCCAGGTTCTAGCTATTACAGATAATGCTGCTGTGAACGCAGTTGTCAGCTCCCTTATGTTACCTATGGAAAGCTGGCCACGCATGACACATCTAGTGAAGGCTAGACCCAAAGTGATCTTCCTGTGTTTGCCAAATTCTTCTCCACTTGTTTGCCTGTCTGAGAAGCACAAGAGGCAGGAAAAGGAATCCAGGGCACCCCTGGGTCTCTGCTTCTTAAACTGTTAAATGGAAATAACAGCTTCCCTGAGGACATGCTCATCAGTGTTGGAGAAAGCTAGTAGATAAGACTGAGGATGGAGGGATCCTCCCCCTGGAGGCAGGAGGACCTAGCATGAAGGACATCACAAGGGACCTGAAGGTGGGGCAAGGCAAATGGCCTGAAAAGATGTGGTTTCACCTTGTCTTCCATCCAGGTGGGGCCCAGGCCTGGGTTGCCATGGATACCGTGTCCCTGGAGCATCAGATCCAGAGCGTGCAACGCCACATCAGCTTCCTGAAAAAGGAGCAGATGGCCCTGCTTCGAGACCTACACCTGGAGATCCTGAGGCTTCAGAAGCGCTGCTCAGGTGCGGCTAACACTCACCCCAGGGCTGGAGTGAGGAGGGGTCCCTGTCACCAGCATTGGTCTCGGGTGGGGTGCCCCTTCTTGAGTTCCTGTGAGTCTAACAACGGTTCTGTCGTGTCTCTTTCTGGATGAGAATCAAGACTTTAGGTAGAATGGGTTCTCAGGATGTGACAGTGCTTGATTGTAATCCTAACATGGGGGAGGTAGAATTAGGTTCGGCTGTATCGAAAGTTCTAGACCAGCCTAGACTACATGAGACCCTGTCCCTCACCCGCCCATGCTTCCCCACACCTAAATATTTTAAGGTTGAGGACTCTACTGAGGTAGTGGTTCAGGCTTCCAGGAGCCAGTTCCAGGGGATTCCTGTGCTTTTGGGTCACTGTTCATTGAGCACCTGTCATCCTTCAGGAAACCCAGTGGGGAAATACATGTGTCTGTGCATAATGGTGAGACAGCAGAGGGCTTGGAGTGTTGCTCAGGGTGGGAGCACTTGCCCCTGAGTTCTGCACCCAGCATCACACACATAAAGATAAACACACATTAGAAAGTAAGGGGCCAACAGGAGTTCAGCATGATAATCCAGTTCGAGCAAGATGATGGAGACCAAGTGTCTCCATTAAGAGGGAGCATATCATCTCCCTGGAGGCTGAGTAGTATGCAGACATACTGGCAGGTGGATGGTCTTGAACAGCTAATCTTTCTGCCTCAAAAGTGCTGGGATTATAAGTATGAGCCACCACACTCAGCTCTTCTAACAGCTTAAGGGATGTCTCAGTTGGGAGAACCCAATTTTCTGTTTATCTATTTATTATTTCCTCCTCCTCACTGTGTATCCCTGGCTATCTTGGAACTCAGTATCAGGCTAGCCTCAAATCCACAGAGATCCTTCTGCTTCTGCCCTCTCAAGTGCTGGGATTAAAGGCAGGCCTACCACCACCAGGCTCTGATTTCTTTATTGTGAAAGTGATAATCAAAGACCCAGAAAAAGAGAAAGTCATATATGTTAGTGTCGTGGGCCAGGTTTAAAACTAGCATCTGCAGCTGGTCTACAGAGCAAGTTCCAGGACAGGCTCCAAAGCAATACAGAGAAACCTTGTCTCAAAAACCAAACCAAAGAAAGAAAAAAGAAGAGAAGAAAGAAGGAGAAAACTAGCTTCTGTGCAGTTTTCTTAATGTTCTCTACCTCTCTGTTGCCCAGAAACTAAGGCTAGAAGGCTTGAGTGAGCCACTCAGCTCCTCACCTTAACACAAAATGTGAGCATTTTGGACTCAGCATCTTGGCACACACAGATCTAGTTGCCCCATTCCAGGCTAGGCTCCTGGCCATCTATCTCTCCAGTGACTGGATGGCCCCAGAGGGTACTTTTTCATCACAAGGATGAATCAGAGGAAAACAGGAGACTCAAAAATCTACCACAGAGCCTCTCATTTCTTCTTGTTTTTCCCTAATTCTGAGAACCTAGGTCCTTCCATTCTGGATGCAGGAAGGTTCCCATGACAACCTGATGGGCAGGATTAGATGGCCCTCTAGCCCCCTCTGGCTCTCAGGTGATCCTGGACTGGACTTGGAGCCTCCTGATTATTGATTAAGGAGATAAAAATAACTCTGGTCTTGTCTGGAACTGCCTGTCTGGGGGCTGAGATGGCCAGATCAGGCCCTCCTTCCAGTAGGAGATGAAGGGAAAGCAGAGGGAATAGAGGAAGGAGAGTGAAGGGACACCCAGAAGGGCAGACTCCCTGGAAAGCCAGGAAGGGATGAAGAGCATGGGGCTTGGAAGGAGAAGTAAGTTCTGGGCTCGTAGGAAAGACTGGCTAATGGCAAGTTCCCTGAGCCTTAAGGGCTGACCTAGCCCTGAGCTAAGTCCTTTTTTTTTTTTTTTTTTTTTTTTTTTTTTTCCCTTCACATCCTGGCACCAGCCCCTTATAAAAGAGGGGCTGCTTTGTTTCCATTTTCCAAGTAAGAAAACTAAGGCTCAGAGTATTTTTACTGGTCCAAAGTCTATCATGTACTTATTTCATAGAATGCATATGTAACCTATGAGGATTCGCATCAAAAGATGGGTGGAGAGCCGGGCGTTGGTGGCACACGCCTTCAGTCCCAGCACTCGGGAGGCAGAGGCAGGTAGACTAGGCAGGTGCCTGGTCTACAGAGAAAGTTCCAGGACAGGCTCCAAAGCTACAGAGAAACCCGGTCTCCAAAAAACAAAACAACAACAAAAACAAAAAAGATGGGTGGAGAAAGGTGAGGGAGGCCTGGTGTGGTGGCACACACTTTTAACCTCAGCACTCAGAAGGCAGAGGCAGAGGGATCTCTGTGAGTTCAAGGTCAGTCTGGTCTACATAGTAAGTTCCAGAACAGCCAGGGCTACATAGTGAGACCCTACCTCAAAATACAAACAAACAAAAGAGGAAGAAGGGGGTGTGGGGCCCAGCTGGGATTCTGCCTCATCTCTCTGTCCTGTGGTTAATGGTTAAATCAAGAAATCAGTCCTTGACGAGTTAGTGGCAGAGCCAAGGTCCCTTAGGACATTTCACAGACCTTGGAGGAGGGAAGAAATTGGTCCCCAAGAGTCCTAGGGGTGGAGGCATCAGAGGCCTCCAAGTGGCCCCAGGGAGGAGGTTCAGGCTCCGGTCATAGCTAAGGTACTTAGAGGTCTCTGTGTCCCAGCAACAAGTAGTTTCCCCAGAGAAGGCACTTCTAGAAAAGCCCCTGGTCCCTAAGAACATTTTGAGGGAAGTACCTGTGTAGGTACTGCTGGACAGTAGTCCCTTAGATGTGCCTTTTTATTTCTTTGGGTTCTAAACTTCATCCCTGAAGGTATATTTAGATTCTCCCAAGTAGAGCCTATGGCTCCCAGCTCCCTACTCAGCAAACTACCTCCAGTCCTATTAGAATTAGAACCCAGAACCAGGAGTGCTAAGCATTTTTCTTGTATCACAGAGTTGTACACCCCTGATCCCTCCCTGTTTTGAGCTCTAGGAGTTTGGGGGGGGGTGCTGAAAATAGTGACCAAACAGTAGCCCTGAGAGACTGGGCATTGAGAGCACCAAAAATGAGTTTAAGAAAAATAAATGAGATAAGGAGGTGGCTGGGCCACCAGCATCCAGGAAGAACTTTTTCCTATACTGGTGATGTCATTCCCCAGCTTGGTTGCCCCTGAGATGTTCCTCCCATTTCAACATCAAACCAGAACCTGGTACAGCTTCTACCACTAGGTGGCACAGTCCTCCCTGAGCCCTTCTTGTATAGAGGTCAAGTGGGGTTTAGAAAACAACAGGGATCTCCAGACAGTAACACCAGTATAAAACACTAGCTATGAAATTAGTGTCACTTGTGTTCAGTTTGGATAGCTTCTGCCCATTTCTGTCACTCCCAGAGCAGCTCTGAGCACTGCAACATTCACCAATCAATTAAGCTTGCATGGGTCAAGACCCTATGTGACAAGAGTCCTCCACAACCATCCGACCTGCCAGCATATCACCCCTTAGGAAAAGGTATGCCCTAAACTAGCCAGGCTCTTCTGCCTGCAGAGGTGGTCTCTGTCTGCAAGCTTAGGAACAAAGCTTTTGCTAGAAAGATTTCAGGGCTTGGAAGCCCCAGGCCCAGACTACCTTCAGCATGCCTCTTCCCCTTGCTGAGATATAAAGTAGCTGTGGGGGTGGTGTAGACAATGCCTGTGGATTTGTCCTTCCACTGAGTTGTGATTTCCTGACATTCACACATACTGGTGCACACACAAACACCTCTACTCTCTCCTCCCCAGAACTGACCCATGACCTGGAGATGAGAGAGGTCCAGTCTCACCAGCAAGGTAAGAGAGATAGCTCTGAACTCTGGTGGGAGGTGTATGAAGTCCAGAAGTTGGGGCTCACCAATTGTTTTGTAAATATTTTATATATTATGTGGATGGGACACACACATGTGGAAGTCTGAGAACTTTAGGGAGTCAGTCAGTTCTCTACCTCTACCATGTGGGTTCCAGGGATCAAACTAAAGTCATCAGGTTTGACAGCAAGCACCTTCACTTGCTGGATCTCTGTGAGTTCAAGGCCAGCCTGATCTACAGAGCTAGTTCCAGGACAGGCTCCAAAGCAACACAAAGAAACCCTGTCTCGAAAACCCAGTAAGAAAGAAAGAAGGAAGGAAAGAAAGAAAGAAAGAAGGAAGAATTTACAGAAGGAGCCGTGCGATGGTGGTGCAATGCTTTTAATCCCAGCACTAGGAAGGCACAGGCAAATGAATCTCTGTGAGTTTGAGGCCAGCATGGTCTACAGAGTGAGTTCCAGGACAGCAAGGGATGCTACATAGAGAAGCCCTGTCTCAGGAAAAAGAGAAAAAAGAAAGAATTGATAGAAGGGGTTGGAGAGATTGTTCAATGTTGACTGCTCTTCCAGAGAACCTGGGTTCAATTCCTAGTACCCACATGGTTGTTTCCAACTGTCTGTAACTTCAGACAGGGGACCCAACACCCTCACACAGGCATACAGGCAGGCAAACACCAAAGAACATAAAATAAAAATAAATAAATGGAAAAAGTAAACAAAAAACGGGCAGTGGTGGCACACACCTTTAATCTCAACACTTGGGAGACAGAGGGAGGTGGCTCTCTATGAGTTTGAACCCAGCCAGGTATACAAGCTAGTTCCAGGACAGCTAGGGCTACTCAGAGAAACCTGGACATGGTGGTGTACACCTTCAGTCCCAGCACTTGACAAGCAGGGGTAGCTCTGAGCTTCAGGCCACCAGTGCTGCATCATGAGACCATTGTGGGGGTGGGGAGGGGTGAAGGAAAGGAAAAACTGAAGAATTGACTCCCTGCCATTCTGATGTGGAATTGATGTGTTACATTTCTAATGCATCAAAAACTCACAAGAGCAAAGATGGCTGGAAACTTTTCAGCTAAGCTGTTAGAAATCCTGTAGATCAGCAAGGACACATGGGGACTCTTAGACTTGAGCCTACTCTGTCCACTTCTTCATATGGCACTCAGACACTTCTTGGTGCCTCTGTGCTTGGAGAGAGGGAACACTCACTCATCCCTGGCACTAGGCAGAGAGTTACATGACCACAGACAACATCCACCACTACTAGCTTTCCTCTGAAAGGGATTTTGGGGCCACCCAAGCTCAAGCCACTGCTCTGTAAGGAACATATCCTCTTTGGCCTCTGTGCCAAATCCCGGTGTAGATAGGGAGCCAGGTCCAGGAGGAGGGGTCTTCAGCTCTGATTCTGCACGATCACCTAGGGAGATTTCAGCAGAGTCACTTCTAGGGCCAGTTCCAGGGCTGCATTGTCCTGATGTGTATCTATGGTTAACTCTTGCTGTAAAGGCAATGGCAAAACTAGACCAGTCAGCAAAAAGAATTCACAAGATGGGGGGATATGTGCTTTGTGAAGGAAAGGACACCCACAACCACCTCCAGGGCACACCCACAGCTTCTCAGCCCCTGCTCTTAACATGTTTTCCTGTCACAGGGCTTTTGCACTCACAAGCTGTTCCCCCTCCAGGAGTCCCCCCTTCTTGGGGGGGAGGAGCTGTTTCCCCTAGCTCTGGAGCATCTCCTTCTTTGATGGCATCAATCCCCCTTAGAATCAGTCAGAGCATTAATTTGTCTTTCTGACACATGTCAACACTGGCAACTTGACTTGTTTATGGTTATTTATTCTTCTGCGCTATATGCTTAGGGAGAATACAGGGGCATAGTCGTAAGACCCAGCAGATTGCTTACAAATGAACCATCAGTTAGGAAAGGTTTTGCGTTTAAAACTGAAGAATTAGAAGCTAAGGGTAGGTCTGGGGTAAGGTCCTTGTGGCTGAAGTTTGAGGCGGATGTAGGGACGAGGGGACCCGCTGGGCCAACTGAGTTATGTTTCGCACCCTTGGAGGCATCATCACCCTCTTATTCTGCCTTCTCTACAGAAGAGGCATCTAGGGAGCTGGAGAACAAGTGCCGCGCGCTAGAGTCCCAACTGGAAGCGCGAGCAGCTGCCAACGCGGAGCTGCGGAGGGAGGTGGCACAGCGGGAAGCGCTGGTGTCAGCACTGCGCTGCAGCCTGCGCTCGGAGGAGCGCCGCTTTCTGGAGGAGCTGCGGCGCCGCAGCCACCGCGCCACCGTGCTGGGTACCGAGCTGCAGAAGCACACGGAGGCGGCCGCCTACCTCTCCTGCCAGCTGCACGCCGCGCGCCAGAGACTGCAGGCCCCGCGCCCCGGCGCCGCTGCCGCCGAGCCCCGGCCCCGCCGACGCGCACAACGGGCCCGCCGCCCTCCGGAGGCGGCTGCCAAGGGGCCGAGCCGGGACTGGGCGACCTGGGACGACTCCGATCCCATGCCGGACCCCGCGCTCTTCCTATACCCGCGGAGGCCACCGCGGCCCAGCGCCCGCGGTCCGCGTCCTCTGCCACGCCAAGAGCTGCGGGACCAATGCGGCACACACGCCGAGCCCGCTGAGAGCTCGGATGCCATGCCCAGCGCCCTGGGGGATCCTGAGTAGGTGCTGGGCAGGCATTGGCGACCCGGAAGGCAGGCCCGGCTGGGAGGGATCAGGGATGGGGCGGGGTCCAGCCGGAGATCCGCCCCTACTCCGCCACCCACTAGAGCTGCCCCCGCTTGTGTGTTTCCCCGAGATGAGCTACCCGCTCTGGAGCGCACCTTTTTTGTGGTGGACTGGCAGTAATAGCCCTAATCCGGGTCCCACCCAGCCCCTAAGAGGGGGAGGGGCAGGGTCTTGACTGTCCCTGGAAAGCTGACAATCCTATGTGGGGCGGGACAAGGCTGGGTCTGCCTACAGGAAGGAACACGGTGGCACTTGGCACCGCTAGGCCTGCAAGCTCCCTTTCCTGCTTTTTTACCCCTAGCCCTGCCCAGCCTTTTGCTCGGGAGAGGCAAGTTTAGGAGCTAGCTCATGTACTCGGAAGTAGCTGCTCCCCACCCCACCCCACTGATAAGTCCTTGAAGGTGAGCAGGAACACTTTAGAATCTATTTTAGAAGAGCCTCTGGGTTCCTGGTGGCAGTTGACTTACAAAAAAACAGTAAGCATAGACCCTTGGAGCGGGTCGTGGAAGAGGAGCTGCTTGGTTCTTCCCAGGCCTGCCATGCAGGGGTGCAGGGGATAAGCAAGCTGGGGTTCAAATTTTGACAAGGGTTGAAGGGTCTTTCTCCCTTCCGTTCTTGAGGCCGCCTCAGAGACTTTCCAGTCCTGTTATAGGTGCTAATTTTGCCCAGCTTCCCAAGCAGCTGGCTGCACCCAGAAGCAGGAAGGAGGGCCTGGCCTGTTGGAAGTGGCAGCTATCCATAGAAATTTGATTTTTCTGGGGAGAAAAGTGGAGACTGGTTAATCCTCGGCCGTGTCCACCCCTGTAAAGGCCCCTAATCCTGTAGAACCTGCTGGTGGTGGGGTGGTCCTATGTTCTCCCTCTTAATTGGGAGTGGCAAACGGTGAACAGAAAGTTGCCACCTTCCCCTTCTCCCCAGTTCCCCTCACTACCAAAGACAGGAAGAAGCTTCATCATAGGCCCCATTCCAGAGCCCCACTTCACCTCTCTTGGTCTGACCTGCACTGAGTCCTAAGTGCCTGTGAGGTCTTCCCTGGGGTTGCTGAGCAGGGATGCCTCTCTTCACTCAGACACTGGGCCCCTAGCAGGTCCTGGCCCTGGCTAAGGTACACCACATTGTGTGTTTCACCCAAGGCCTTGAGGTGAGCGGAGTCAGCCTCTGTAGTTGACAAACTTCTCCAGTCATGACCATCAGACAGAAAAAAGAACTTTTGGTTCATACCGTACACTCTTAAGATGAAGCAGAAATTTGACAGGAAGTAGAAGGCAGTGAGCACATTCCAACCTAATTCTGCACATGGACCCCTCCCCACTCTCCCCTCTCTAAAGGATAGCTGAGGCTACTGAGCAATGACCAGGGCTGAGCTGTCTAATTCCTGGGAGTTGGATGGCAGAAGTAGAATCCTGGGGTCCCGACTAGGGCCCCAGCTGCTATCCTTCACTCCAGTGGCAATACCTGTACCACTTAATCTCAATTTTGTGTGACTCACTGCCCTATCCTGCCATCCTCCCCACCTGGAACCTGCCTGTGTGAAGGACTCACTCTGCTCCCTTAAAGGTACCCAAAAGCCAATGGGAGGGGAAAGGCCTTTTTCTCTGGGCGCCTACACAGATCTACATCTCTTACAACCATACTTTTGGGGTGAACAGGGTGACTGTGTTGATTTTCCTAGAGAGAGTCCTTTCTCATCCCATTCATCCACTAAAAGCCATAGCTACCCTGACTAGCTTCCCTTTAAACTATAGCAATAGCTCTCTTCCTTTTTTCCCTTCTGGGCACCCAGGATGTTCAACTCACTCCATCACTCCCCATCCCCAGGGATCCGATAGTAACCTCTGCCTGTCTTTCCTCAAGTGACCCTGTCAACACCTTCCAAATCTTATTCCTCTTCCAACGGCCAGAGATGATGATACTTGTTCATGGGATGCTTGAAGATCTCCCAGATGAAAGGATCTAAAGGCATCTGACTCCCAGTAGAGATCTTGGGGTCCAACTCTTCCAGCAGTAAGGGAATAAAAGGGGGTCTAGGCAGATACAGGATACCCTTTCCCCCGTCCTCTTCTGGAAATAATAGAAGGCTCCCTTCAGTGGTCTACAGGCCAGGACTCCCTCAGCCTTCCCGGTCCAGGACAGGCCATGCCCTTCCACCCCTTCCTGGACCTGGCTACAGGAACCCACCTGGTCAAAGGAAAAGTACCAATGTGGACCCAGAAATGGCCCAGTGGTCAGGAAGGGAAAGACCATTTCATTTCTCTTTGCTGTAACATCCCCATTGGGAGACTGAGAAGGTTCATACACTCATAGGGGAGAGAGCTGCCACATGTGAGTATAGACAAACCCAGAAGGAAAGACTGCATTGCAGTCCTACATTCTAGAAGCCATCCAGCAATGAGTGAGCATTTCAATATGAGGCTCTTTACCCTTTGTCCCTGTGACCTTGCCAAGACAACCTGTTCTTTGGGGAACCAGTTCTGGACCAAGATGGAGTAGCTCATCCTTATATAAGCAGCAGGATAGAGTTGTCCTGGATGGCACTGGAAGGGAAGGAGGGCAGAGGGTATGGGGCATCTTATCATTTAGGGGGCCAGGTGTCTCCTAAGCACCCTTTCACAGTGATGTGCCAGCCTCGAATGGGAGACATGCAGGGCTAACGGATCCTGCTCCAAATTCTCTGTTGGCTGCGCTTTTTAATCCAATGCTTTTCAGAGTGTATTCACTCACTTACAGAAATAGAGCCCTGTGCTTTAGGGGTGACTATCATATGCCTTATTCTTAATAAAATGTTTGGAAAACATGTAAATCCATTCTCTTGCTGGAAGTGGTGTTGCTTACCTACCTCTGTCCAGCAAATGTAAAATAGGGAGTTACAGATGTGAGGGAGATGACAGCTTGGAAATCAATGGGTAGGGTGAAGTAGATGCTTGATACCCCATGCACGCACACAAATAAATTCTTCGGGGCATAAGGTGCTTGCTGAGGTGACCCCGCCCTTTGCCAAGGCCTGCCAGCCTGCCTGTACACCCCCAGTCTGAATAAACATTGAATGAATGAGATCTTGGATGAGAGATTCCCTAGAAAGGGATAGGTTGGAAGAATCCCATGCCTAAAACTCACTGTTCTGGTCTAGAAAGAATCCCGAGATTTTGGCCTATTTGGCCACCCATGTTGTTCTCCATCTGACAGAACTGCATCCCAGAAACAAGCCTCTACTAATGTGAGTTATCCTCTGACCACAGCTTGAGGAGTTCAACACATCTGGTACTGTGCTTTCAATGTACATCTGTGTTGTAGACAGAGTAAGCTCTGCATCCTGAGCATGAAAAAGACATTATTTTTTAAATTATTTATTTATTGTATATGCAGTGTTTTGCCTGCATGGATCCATGTATGCCTTAAGGGGGGCACCAGAGCTCATTACAGATGGTTGTAAGCCACCATGTGCTTGCTGGGAATTGAACTCAGGACCTCTGGAAGAGCAGCCAGTGCTCCTAACCTCTGAGGTATCTCTCCAGCCCAAGGATATTATTTTTTACATACAACCCTCCCCTCCTGATAATTGAAGCCTCTTCATGCATAAGGTCAGTCCCATTCACTGGATTGAAGATGGGCCCAGGAGTATGTGGGTTGTGAGCCCCTGTATGGTTGCTGGAAATTGAAATTCAGGACCTCTGGAAGAGCAGCCACTACTCTTAACCTCCGAGCCATCTCTCCAGCCCTATTTTGTCTTTTATAAGATTATAAGGCAGGATTTCACTATGTACCTGCCTTTGCCTGGACTGCTGTGATTATCCACATTTACTTTTTTATTTATATATTTATTAATTATGTATACAACATTCTGCCTCTAGGTATGCCTGTGTAACAGTAGAGGACACCAGATCTCATTATAGATGGCTGTGAGCCACCATGTGGTTGTTGGGACTTGAACTCAGGACCTGTAGAAGAGCACTGAGCCATTTTCTCCAGCTTTTTTTTTTTTTTCTGGTTTTTGGTTTTTTGAGACAGGGTTTCCCTGTGTAGTTTTGAAGCCTTTCCTGGAACTCCATAGACCAGGCTTGTCTTGAATTCAGCTAGATCCCTACCTTCCACATGCTGGGATTAAAGGCCTGGACCACCACACCCAGCTCACATTTGTTTTTTTAAGTCAACAAGATTGATTTGTGGGTTTTTCCCCTCTTCCTGTTATTTATCTTTTGTGTCAATTTTTAATCAGTACTTATGGTGGCAGATTTGTTTGTTTTGTTTTTGTCTTGAGTCTGGGTGTATCATGAAGCCCAGACTGTCCTAGAACTCATGTCCTCTGCCTCTGCTTCACAAATGCTGGGATTATAGATGTACACCATCACCAACCAGCTGCTTTAATCAGTTGGCTAGGGTTTTAGTTTTTAATTATTTTTTTAAATATGAGTGCTTTGCCTGTGTGTATAATATGCAGCACCTGCATGCCTGGTACTCACAGAGGTCAGAAGGTACTGGATCTCCTGGAGCTGGAGTTGGGGATGTTTGTAAAATACCCAGTGGGTTTTCTAGTGCTTTTAATTTCTGTGCCATCTCTCCGCCCCCTAGTCAGTAGTACTAGTAACAGATGTTATTGTTTGAATCAGGGTTTCATGTAATCCCAGGCTGGCCCCAAACTTGTTATGTGACCCAAAATGACCTTGAGCTCCTGATCCTCTTGCCTCTGCCTCCCAGGTGCCTGGCTATTATTGTTACTCTTTAAACATGGGAGTTAATATGCTGCCTGGGCTGGTTCCAAACTCTTAGGCTCAAGTGATTCAACTGCTTCTGTCTCCTAACCACCTGGGACTTAGGGTTGCAAATCACAACACTCAGCCTCCCCTTGTTATTTTGAACTCAGGTCTCTGCTTCAATCTCTAGGACTCAGGTGGACCAGGACAAGGATCTGCAGCAAGTTCAGAGTATACAGCCCAGGCCTCTGTTCCTGATGCCTAGTCTCTAAGAAGGGTGTGGTCCAGGGAAGGCAAGGCTCAACCCTGGATAAACATCTGCCCAAGACTCTTGGGTGCCAACTAGAGTTTGAAAAACAGGTGGGAGGAAGGGAGAGAAGGGACTGGTTTTAGGGTTGACATCTG